GAGCGCAAGCGGCGTGTGGAGCTCAAGTGCATGGAGCTGCAGGAGATGATGGAAGAGCAAGGGTGAGTGGTGGACTGCAGATGTGCCCCCTTTCCTATCTAAAACACCCTGAAGCGGTAAATATCCCCACTTGGAAGTAAATCTGCTTTGTCTGTGTTTGGGTACCTTGGGCCGGTGTATCAGACAACTTGGGGATGGGTTGAGGGGTTGAACCTGTGATGCTAAATCGCTGCTGAAAATCCAAACCCAGCAGCGCTTGGCTTTTGGAGACTCCCTGTAGGCACCCCTGCTTGGAAAGCTCAGCTCCCAGCTCTCCACCATGATAGCTGGGAAAGCTGAGACAAGGACAAGTGAGTTGCCAAGGCCATGCAAGAAGTCAGTGTCAGAGGAAGGGTTAGCCCTTGGCGCTGCCTGCCGCGTGCCCTGCTCATCTCTGCAGCGCCTTTGCAAGGTCTCTTTGGGCAGCGAGAGGCCACCGGCAGCCCTGGTGGTGGTGGAGGAACAGCAGCGGGCGACACTGGTGGAGGAGCAGGCAAGAAGGCAGTCGGTCTTGCCTCCGTGCGTTGGGGAACTGAAGCTATGGCTGGGTTTAGGTGGCACTGGAGGACCTGTCTGCAGCCCGACGAGCAGCATCCAGCTGGCATGTCCCCTGGGGCTGTGCGGGATGGCTCCTGTGGTCTCTGGGGCTTTCAGCCCTGTTGATAGGGGTGGGCTGGTGTGGAGCGTGCCGTGCCGCGAAGGGGGCCCCCGTGCAGCGGGAAGGGACGTGCCGGGGGAGCCAGGGTCACGTTCCTGCCCGGTGCCGTGGCTCGAGCCCTCTCTTCGTGCTGGAGCCTGGGCGGAGGCTGGTGGGGGTCTCGCTCCTCTCCCTGCAGTTTTGGGAGCTGGCTGGGGTGAGAAGATCCCTTCTGTCCCCAGACCTCCTCCCATGCGCCCGGCTGGGCGCCGCGAGCTGCTCGCCGGCCTTCGGTGTCTGCGCAGGTGAAGCGCAGGGCTGGCAGGAGCCCCCGATACCCCTGACAGCTCGGTAAAACCTGATTGATAGACCAAATTCTTCAGCACGCGGGTAGACGGGGACTTATATTAGCTGGGGAGAAGGAAAATGGATTGAGAGACGACTTCGCCAAGGCTTTCATTAAGAGCACGAGCGTGACCTAGAATTAAATTGTCTCACACAGACTAGAATAATGATTGTGCCTAATTTGTTGTTATGGAAATAAATAAGGCTGACCTGGCGCCTTGGGGAGCCCAGCTCCTCCTTTCAGGTTCCCGTGCCCTGCTAGGACTCTTACTATTAATATTATTATTACTGCGGTGGGTAATAGTGATATCGCAATCTGTATTGTTGGTATTGCTATAATTGTCTTTGCTGTTATTAATACTATTGCTAACGACGACGATGGCGATGCACCGAAATGATAATATAATTAAGTAATAATCTTGGTCAGCTTGTTTAATCTCCCTGCCTGCTCGTCCCCGGTGCACAGGGGCTCTCCCGGGGGTTTGCATGGGAAGCGCTTTGGACCCGGGAGGTTTCTGCTTGTCCTGGTGGCCATGTAGCGGCCGTGTCCCCTGCGCCTTGTGGAGATTTGTCTCCAAAGGGCAGGGCCCCTGGGATTAAATGGCTTCGTAGCAGAGGAGGTTGTGTGGGGATTTAAGCCCTCGGTGGCCTCCTTGAAAGCCGACGGCTCCTCCTGCTTGCTCGGCATCCGGCTGTGCTTCTCGCTCCCAGGCTGCCGGCCTGGTTATTTAGCGGATGGTGATGGGATTTCTTTTCTGGAAAAGAGACGTCAGCATTTCTTGCTTCTTTCCCAAACCCGCTAAATGTGTTAAATGCAAAAAAAAAAAAAATCCGGCTGTGCTTCTCGCTCCCAGGCTGCCGGCCTGGTTATTTAGCGGATGGTGATGGGATTTCTTTTCTGGAAAAGAGACGTCAGCATTTCTTGCTTCTTTCCCAAACCCGCTAAATGTGTTAAATGCAAAAAAAAAAAAAA